TGTTGGTCATACTATACAATGATTTATAGCTTGTCTTTGTTGAATAATACAGAACATAAAGAGCTTTAAAAAAAATAATTGCATATTAAATCGCAATCCCGATATTGGTAAAAAAAATTGCAATTAGATTATTTTCCAAAATCGTTCAGCCCTAATAAAAATATAAATAAATAAATATATATATATATATATATTTTTTTTTTAGCATTGTCGGTTCATATACAGTGTGCCTCTGTAATGGCGTCCAGAATTTTCATTTTTTTATATGAATGATAAAATAGCTATGTAAGCTAATTTCAGGTGTTTAGGAGTGTGGGAGTATTATCAGGCTTGTTTATGTATGGGGGTGCTAGCCCCTAGCGCCGCCCAGTAAAGACTATTATAGTGACATGGAGGAGTCATACACTAGGCGTGCATGTGTCCATTATTATTGCTGCGCAAACAAAAGCACTTTTTGTAAACGATATGATCACTGACCATAACCTAGATGTGCTCTGTTTGACAGAAACCTGGCTAAATTATGATGATTACATCATTTTAAATGCTGGCTGCAGATAAAGTTTTAATTGTTGGTGATTTTAATATCCATGTTGATAATGAAAAAGATGCATTGGGATCAGCATTCATAGACATTCTGAACTCTATTGGGGTTAGACAACACGTCTCAGGACCTACTCATTGTCGAAATCATACTCTAGATTTAATACTGTCACATGGAATTTGTTTTTTTAAATGTTTTATTTATACATTTTAAAATACATTACAAAAGAATACAAAAAATTCAAGAGCACAAGATAACAACAACACCACACTTACATATGTAGCAGTGAACAAATACATCAAATTATATTTTTCCAAAAAATAAATAGTTTTATACATTTATTTAAAAAAAAAAAAAAAAAAAAAAACACCTAGTGCAATCCTACATAAAGCAAATACAGTTCTACAGTATGTTGATCAAGCTGTACATAGTATCCAAAACAAAACTTGGGGTGGGGGCTGAGGGGGGACTTAATCACAAACAACAGGGGCAAGCTGGAGAGTTTTGACATATTCACAAAGGGGCTGCCAGAGTTTAATGAAAATAGTGCTAGGTCGGTGAAGAGAGGTACCTAATTTTTTCTAACTTCATAAAGTAAAGAACATCTTTTACCCAGTGGGTGTGCGATGGAGGATGAGGGCTCTTCCAGTTCAGGAGAATTAAACGCCTAGCCGAAAGGGTTAAAAAGGCTACAAAGTCTGAAACATGAGAAGGCAAAAAGAGGCCAGGTGGGAGAACCCCGAATAAACCAGTAATTGGACAAGGTGGAATATCTACAGAGGTAATGGCTGACAGTGAAACTAAAATTAGCCTCCAAAAAGTAGACTGGTCAGGACAGGACCAGAACATATGGATTAAAGTAGCTGGACCAGAATGACACCGGTCACACTTCAGGTCAGTAGAGGGGTTAATGCGAGCTAGTCTGTTCTTTGACCAATGGGCCCCATGTACCACCTTGCACTGTATGAGCCGGTGACGTGCGCGGAGAGAAGAGGAGGTAACTCTATTCAAGACCTCTTTCCATGTCTCCTCATTGATGTCAGTACCAATGTCTTGGGACCAGATGATGCGTAGGTTATCAGAGAAAAACTGCAAATTAACAATTATATTAACGAATTTAGAAATTGACCCTTTAGCACAAGGATCCACACCCAGTATAATGTCCAGATCCGAAGGAAGAGGCGCATTTGGAAAGTTAACTTCCAGAATGGAAGGGTAGAATAAAGGATTGGAGTGTATTGGGGATAATAAAGGGGTATTATGAAGACCAAAATGACGCACAAATTGGGTCCAGATTTTAAGACTTTTTTTTACAATTATATTATTTGAATATTTTTGTGTGGTCATTGTACATGGGAGGCATAAAAGGGAGGCCAAAGAGGAAGACTTATTACATGAGGAATTCTCAATATGCAGCCAAGAAGGGGAATTTACTAAGTTAGATGAATGGACCCTATGCAGAGTAGAGCGTATGTTCCCCACCCAGTAATATATTAGAAAATTTGGAAGGGACAAACCACCCAATTGTTTTGACTTCTGAAGAATGTTTTTTTTCGAATCCTGGGGTTGTTTTTGTTCCAGAGAAAACTAGAAATAGAGCTATCAAGTGTGACAAAAAAAAAAGACTTTGGAATAAAAATAGGAATACGTTGAAATAAGTATAAAAATTTGGGCAGAACATTCATCTTAATCAGGGGTGTGAAGTACTCGCGTTACAGTAATTTAGTATTTATCAGTAATTGTACTTTTTTTGAGTAGTTTAAAAATTGTGTACTTTTACTTTTACTTGAGTACATCTTAAGTGATATATCGGTACTTTTACTCCGCTATTTTCCTCCGTTTGTGGTCGTTACATGCTTATTTAAATTTTATCCATCAACGTGATTGGATAGATAGTAATAGGTCTCGTGACTTTCGTCAAATCAAATTGTGCATAGAAAATTTTAACCGCCAACTGTTTATCATGGCTGCTGGAAGCGCATTCTTCAAGCATCAATTCAGTCGCAGCTTCCTCTAACTTAATATGTTAAGGTAAATTTAGGATTTCTGCTTACTAAATGATTTGTATATATGCTTACCCATCTACACGGCCTGAAATATGGTGTGAGGTTGCGGGTATTGCACAATGTGCATTTATGTTAAAATTGTAACATAAATGGTCAAGTTTAGTTATTCTTATTTCTTTATGCAAAACGCTAAAACTGGCACCGTTTTGGAGAGAAATGGGCTCTCATTTTAACCCATTTCATGGTGTGTGATGCTGAACTATGTGTTTCTAATGGTGTTTGTATTTGCACTGTTCTAAACATTAATATTTTATGTGCAACAACAGCATGCTGTCTCAGTGGCCTTACACATGATTTTAAATCTATTTTTTCAAACTTTATGATTTAAATGGGGATGATTGTACTGAGAATAACTTTCATCTTCAACTGAATACTGTTTCCGTGCTGTTTTGATGTATTTTAAAGAGTTGGCAGTCAAAATTAAAACTGCTGGATGATAGATACTCTTCATTCTTTATGACAAATAAGATAATGTGAATTACAGAATGTACAACGTTTTTAAAAGGTATCGATTGCGGTGTACAGCGTTTATTATGAGGGGGTAGAATCCACAGCTTAGTACTCACTACTCAATACTCATGAGTACTTTTAAATAGGCTACTCTTTTACTCTTACTCAAGTCGTTTTTTGGACAAGTACTTTTACTCTACTCACACTACATTTTTTGGAAGGTAATGGTACTTTTACTTGAGTATATTATTTCAGTACTCTTTCCACCACTGATCTTAATACAGGTAACCCTACCAATCAGGGATATAGGAAGGAGGGACCAGCGATTTGAAATCCTGTGTAAGATGATTAACTAACGGGACAAAGTTGTGATCAAATAAGTCTGAAAAGTGTTTTGTCACATTTATGCCCAAATATCTAAAACACTGTGGGGAAGATTTAAAAGGCAAAGATGCTAATGGGTATCCCAAGAAGTATAAAAATTTGGGCAGAACGTTCATCTTAATACAGTTAACCCTACCAATCAGGGATATAGGAAGGAGGGACCAGCGATTGAAATCCTGTGTAAGATGATTAACTAACGGGACAAAGTTGTGATCAAATAAGTCTGAAAAGTGTTTTGTCACATTTATGCCCAAATATCTAAAACACTGTGGGGAAGATTTAAAAGGCAAAGATGCTAATGGGTATTCCAAGGCTGCTTTATTAATCGGCATCAATTCACTTTTATTCAAATTTAGCTTATAGCCCGAAATTGGGCCAAAATCTGTTAACAGATTCAACACCAAGGGAATGGAGGTATCGGGATCAGACACATATAGCAAAAGATCATCTGCGTATAGAGATAGCTTATGCTCCACCCCTCCTCTCCGTATTCCAGCCATCGAACAGGATCTTAAAGCAATTGCCAAAGACTCAATGGCTATTGCAAATAGCAGAGGGGAGAGTGGGCAGCCCTGTCTAGTCCCACGACCAAGGGTGAAATACTTAGAATAATTATTATTTGTTCGTACACATGCTGTGGGAGATATAAAAGCATAATCCAAGCTATAAATTGATCAGGAAAACCAAATTTCTTTAGTGTAAAAAAAAAAACAAATGTCTCCACTCGACTCTATTGAATGCCTTCTCAGCATCCATGGAAATAACTCATTCTGGAGATACATTTGAAGAGGAAGAGGAAAGAATATTCAAAAGGCGTCTAATATTATGAAAAGAGTGTCTATTTTTAATAAATCCTGTTTGGTCTGGAGAAATTATGGCAGGAAGAACTGCTTCCAAACGTCTTGCTAGGACTTTAGCTAATAGCTTCACATCAGAACAAAGTAAAGCGATGAGACGATAGCTACTGCACTGAGAAGGATCTTTATCTTTCTTAAGAATAAGGGAAATAATAGCCTGCCATAAAGAGTGAGGAAGGATACCTGAATTGTAGGACTCATTAAACATGTTAAGCAAAAGAGGTGCTAATTTATCAGAAAATGTCTTTAAAAAATCTGCCGGGAAACCATCAGGTCCTGGGCATTTGCCATTTTGCATTAGACTAAGAGCATTTTTAATTTCATCCAATGAAAGTGGAGCGGCCAAATCAAAGGAAATATTAGAATCAATACGAGGCACATTTAGGAAACTGAAAAAATTATGGATTTGAGCCTCTTCAACTGTTTTCTGAGGTATATAAAGAAGCATAAAAATCTCTGAACTGGTCATGAATAGTTAGTGGGTTAACTGAAGGCCCACTGGGGGTGGAGATTTGAGTAATAAAGTGTGAGGCCGCAGATTGACTCAACTGACGAGCAAGCAATTTACTCTATCACCAAATTCATAATAATTGCAGTGAGTTTTATGGAGAGCATCAATTGCCTCATTTGTAGCAAGTAGATCAAACGCTACCAATTTAGACCTCTTTGCCAAGTTTTTACACAAAGGCAGAGTTGACCATTAGACTGGAGGTCTGCTAAAGATGTAGAGTTTTTAGACCTTCTTTCATTCATCGTTTTTCTCTTTATAGGCTGCATATGAAATAATTTCTCCCCTTAAATAAGCCTTACATGCCTCCCAAATTGTCTTAGCTGAAACATCTGGGGGAGAATTTGTGGAAATAAAGAGGTCAATATGATCGTTAGTAGCTGCTATAAAATCAGGATCATTAAGAAGTAAGGAATTAAAGTGCCAAGGGGATCGAGACATTGAAAAACCTGGAAGGGCAAGGTCAAGTGTAACCGCAGCATGAGCCGAAATTACAATAGTATTATAAATACATGAACTAACCAATGAGAGCAATTTATTATCAACCGAAAAGTAGTCCATACGGGAGAAAGAATGATGGACAGGGGAAAAGGAGGAGAATAGTTTTGTATTAAAATTTTAAAGATGCCAAACATCAGGAACCGCATATTGTTCCATAAAAAGCTGGATAATCTTGCCAGATTTAGACTAAGCGCAGAGCCTAGATGGGGAACGGTCTAAAAGAGGGTCTAGACGAGTTAAAATCCCCACCCAGAATTAGTTGGTTGGAATGCAGATCAGGGAGCGAAAACAACACTTTTTTTAAAATAAGCCTCATCCCAATTAGGACCATATATATTTGCCAAAATCAAGCGGACTCCGTTAATCTGTCCTCTAAGAATAATAAAATGCCCATTAGGGTCCGGGATGACCTCAGCGACAGAAAAAGGAACCGATTTATGGATGTGAATAGCTACACCTCGAGACTTACTCTAGAATCTAGAATGATAAAGTTGACCTACCCAGCCTTTTCTAAATCTGAGATGATATGCAGGCCTAAGGTGTGTTGCCTGAATAAAGGCTATGCTGGTATTCAAATATTTCAAATAATTAAGTAAAAATCAGCATAACTTGTATGAATGATGACTACAAGTTCAAATCTAGAGCTAGTATGAAAATAGTGTTAAAGTTACTGCAGTGGAGTTTAATCCCAGGCTGCATGATATATTTCTGAGTGAAATTAGTTTTTGAGCATGGAAAAAAATGCTTGGTTATTAACCATTGGGTGCTTTCTATTAACTATAAGTAACTTTATAACTACATGTCAACTAATTCTCATTAATTTGCAACTACATGTCTACTAACTCTCAGAGTAGACCGTTAGGGTAGGTTTAGGGTTAGTAGAATAAGTTGACAAAGAAAGTGTTAGAAGATATTAAGCAGACGGTCTACTAATACTCTACTAACTGCTAGTTGACGTAGTTGCAAAGTTACTTACTGTTAATAGAATGTCTAAAGTGGACTATCTAAATAAAGTGTTACCAGATTTAAATATGCATGGTATGTTTTACTAATTCTAAAATGTAAAGACTGGAAAAACCTTTAATTTTTTGCCCAGGGCATTTGTCCAATTTGGTAGCATTTTGCAAATTATGTTAAGTCAGGCCGCAAATAGATATAACATAAAAGGCTCGGTTCATAGGGAAATTTATTTAAAATAAAGGCATAACATAAAGTGGGGAGAGAAAATGATCGGGTAAACAAAACAAAGGAGAGCGCAACTGGACTGCTGCTGGGAACGCCGCCGCCTCAATCTGGTCAAGAGACATCTTATAGGCCCGCTTAGTCCACAGTTGTAGGGAACCTAATCACAAAACGGATACAAAATCAGGTTGAGAGTAAAAATCAGCATAACTTGTATGAATGATGACTACAGGTTCAAATCTAGAGCTAGTATGAAAATCGTGTTAAAGTTGCTGCAGTGGATTTTACTCTCATTCGGCTTGATATGGGTGCTGATTGGATGTGAAAAGCAGGCATTACATTTTGGAAACCAAACCACCCTGAATTTTCTGTTCCACCTTCAAAATGTGTGATTTCAAGCTAGCCTTATCCCTCTTTTAACAGACTGTGTTTGTTCCTTTTCATCAGCAGAGACGTCCTGCGAGAGAGAAGAGAGACGAGCGAGGCTGGATGAGGAGGGGAGAAGAGAGAAGGACAATGAGGGGAAAAGAAGTTATGGGCGGACAGGAGACTGGAGCTCTCCTTTCCCTCTTCCATCTATTTCCTTACCATTCTGACAGTCTCTCATCTCCTCTCTTCATTTCATCGTCTGGAGATGGATGGAAAGCCTCAGCTCGAAGGTGAGGAAGACTTGGGGTGATATGACAAATCTTAAAAATGTGGTTTTACAAATGCTAGAAATATGGTTTTCAAAGGAAAGATTGCTATCAAATAGCACACCCAGGTTCCTAGCTGATGACGAGGAATTAACAGAGCAGCCATAGTGTTAAACAGTGTTCTAGGTTATTACATACGGAGGTTTTTGGTCAAATAATTAACCTTTTGTTAGGTTTTTTTTTTCTTTCAGAATTTACCAGTAAGAAATAAGTAGTCATTCAAAATGAACGTACAACAGAAAATTGGGTGTACGGTCGTTTCAACGCAAAACTTGGAATTTATCAATATGGACGTGAGCGGTGGCTACGTTCAAATCTCACGTCAGGTCTCAGCTCGTGTTCGTTTTTAAATTACCTGAACTTAAGCGCAGCATATAAATCTGGTGGAGAATTGTAGAATGACAGCATTTTGTTCATTTAGTTTATTTTCTTGACCGACAACCGAAGCTAATTAGTCGATCACTGACCAGTAAGATTAGAATGTCTTTTGTTTAGTTTTATTCAGGGCTTTAGCTTTATGTGCGCGAATAGCAATGTAAACCACAGACCATGAGGATTCAATCGTCGCATCATGCACCTGCAGCGCTTGAACGGAGAAAACAGAAATTAAGTCTATGAACGTAATAAAAAAAGGCCACACAAAATATATGTTATAAATAGGCTATAATATAATTAACAGATTAACAAAAGAGAAAAAAACTGCAACAAGTATAGGCTACGCTTGTTTCTGTGACACTCTTAATGCATGTTATTTCATTTCTTTATATCTTTATTTGATTTAATTCATCTGATCGCACAGACGCCTCACGCACACACAAACAACATTAGTTCTAGTGTTGCCTGACATTTTAGCCCTTCGTCAAACTAAAATGCAGTCAACCAAGTTGCACGGTTTATTTTAAAATGACCACTGTAAAATCAGCGTGCAGCACCCAAAGCAAACAAACCAAAAACTCCTCACGTTCGCTCGCCCACAAAACTCCTCACGTTCACTCACGCAATGGGCTTTTAAGGTAAGCAATGAGGGACCGCATTCGTTCGTTCACCCTCAAACCACTCTCATTCGCTCGTTCACTCTCAAACCCCTTGCGTTCCCTCAATTGCTTGCTCTAAAATCCCTCGCATTCGCTCGTTCGCCCTCAAACCGCATGCTATCCCTCAGTCGCTTGGTCGAAAACCCCATGATTTTTCCCCTCCCTCAAAACTTGCCCCGTGCGCTTACGCAATGGGGCTTCAGGGTAAGCAAATGAGGGAACTCATTCGCTCGTTCGCCCTCACCCCTCGCATTCGCTCGTTCCCTCTCAAACCCATTACTTTTCTTCACTTGTTTGCCCTAAATCTTCTCGCGTTTGGTTATTTGCTGTAAAACTCCTTGCGTTTCCCCTCCTTCAAAACTCC